GCCGTCGCCGGCGACTCACGGCAGCCCAGCTCCAGGTTGAGCTGTTGTTCAGCATCTTAGCTGAAGAGGGCAGTGTCACTGGTCCTCATATGTGGGATCCGAACCGGGGCCCTCTGGCGTCCCAAGCCAGCTCTTAACCAATGCACCACCCGGCTGGCACTGAAATTATTTTTCTATTTATATTCTTGTTTATTTCTGTCTCCCCAACTAGAATAGAAGCTTTGTAAAGGCAGTGGCTTCATCTTGTATCTTGGGTTCTTTCTTGTATCACGTGTGCTTAGAACAGGGCTGTCACAAATAGATGCTCAGTTACTATCTGTTGGGTGAATTTCAGCACTTAACAGTTATAAAACATACTGGGGAAGAAACAGTATATTTACACACACACACACACACACACACACACACACACACACACACACACACCTACATCTAGACATTGCTAAGTACAATATAAGCAACCAAAATGCAATATCATTTTTTTCCTATCAAATTGGAAAAACTAAGGTTGGTGACAATATTGGTGAGGGAACTAGGAAACGGACACACACATTTGCCACTAGTGGAATATCAAATAGTCTAAGCTTTTGTAAGTGGTGAGTCATGAGTGATTTTTATCTCAATTTTTGTGGTGTGCTGTTTCTCATTTTTTCCAATAATTACTTTTTCCCTCAATAATTACTTTTTAAGCCAGAAAACCCTGATAATATTAATCTTCCTCTCCACCCCACCCCTTGTTTTTTAAATTAACCTGGCTAGATCCCTGTACCACCCCAACTTCTGAAGCCAATCCCAGCAGCAGATGGTCTTGTTTTGTTGTTGAACCTCTTCTCTTAAGAATGTTTACCCTGTGGGGGCGGTCAAGTGGCTCAGTTGGTTAAGAGTAGGCTTAAGAGCGCGAGCTCTGAGCAACAGGGCCTCCGGTTCGATTCCTACATGGACCAGTGACACTGCGCCTGAGTTGAGCTGTCGCTGAGCTGCCAACAGGTGGCAGGATGGCTCAGCTGGTGTAACAACAAGATTGCCTGTTTGATGGTGGGCTACACCCACCCGCAACTAAGACTGAACTCGGCACCTTGAGCTGAACTGCCGCCCGGATGGCTCAGTGGATAGAGCATGCGCTCTTAACAACAAGGCTGCTGGTTTGACACCCGCATGGGATGGTGGCTATGCCCAACCGCAGCTAAGATTGAACACAGCATCTTGAACTTAGAGGCCACAAGCTGCTGACGGGAAGCCAGATGGCGACTGGCGTCCTCCACAACGAAGATTGAAGAACAACAACTTGGCTGGTCCCCTTCCCCAATTCCCCAACACTGTTCCCTTCCCCCAATTGCCCAATAAAATCTTTAAAAAAAAAAAGGATGTTTACCCTGAATCCTGTATCAGGTTTCTCTGTGATGACGCAACACTGGTCTTTGAAAACTGTATGTGCAGAGCCATTCTTGTTCTGAGGTCCTGGGCTGGCTTGGGGAGCCCATCTGAAATGTGAGGCCGGGGGGTGTGGTGTGGGGAACATGCCGGCGAAGGCAGGGCCCACCCAGTTTGAGATGGGGTCCCACCATCCTTCCTGCCAAGACCAGGTCTCCACAGACAGGGGGAGCCTAACATTTCTTGGCAGGTACCCTGCCGACTCCCTCACTGCTTGGGATTTAATTAAAAACAATAATAATCACAGCCACACATGCATTTCTCCCTGCTGTATATGCAGCTGGACTTCTGATGCCTATTTCCTTTGACATATCCGTGCCCTCTTCTGCCCGTGTCTGGTGGCCAGCCCTTCTCTCTGGGCCCCAGACCTGGAAGGGAGGCTCACAGCTGAATCACCAATGGAGCATTCTTCAGTTTCCCCTTGTTTCTTTCTTTCCTGGAGCCGCATTGGTAGTTCGATGTTTCATTTCATTCTGTCATTTTCTGGGCTTGGCAGTTAAGTTCCTGAGCACCCAGCATTCGGCCCACCTGAACCGTGTTCACCTAGGCAGCCCTGAGCCAACAAAGGAGCCTGCACATACTTGGCTCCTGGCCCTGGGCTGTTGCACTCACATTTCTTCAGCCTCGTCCTGCTTAGATCTTGGCCCTCTGACAGTGTGTGCAGTCAGCCTTGAGAACCTGCCAATAGATTGTGGATTGTTGTGAGTGGCACCAAGAGCCGAGGGTTGGGGCTGGCTCAGGACATTGCTTCCCTAATATTGGCTGGCTGAGTGGCACATGCTTGTAATGACTGCCGATATTCCAGGGAGCTGGCAGGGTGGTGAGAGGGGCAGATATTAACTACTTGTCTCCTGTTGGATATCCTTGTCCCTTCTCCTTTGTAGCTCAGGGGACACAGCAGAACAGGGGAGCACCTGCCTGCTGATAGGGTGGGAGAGGCGCCAATAAAAAATCCTCTTTTCCTGCCTTAACTACCTGGCAGAGGTCTGATTGTATTCATAAGATGCATAATCAGTCTTCGTCTTCATGCTTGTTAGAGAAAGTGCCCAGGGGAGAGGTAGGAGAACAGAGCCCTCCTAGAATAAGTGTTATCCATCCCCCATCAGCCTCTGCCAGGCTTGAGCCTGGGTGGGACTCAGGCTCAGGGTCCCTCGCACTGTCACAGACAACAGGGGCAAGTGGGGCTGTATGTAGCTTTCGATCAGCTATTCATTCATCTGTACTGTAGTGTTTTCCAGCCCATCTACCCTGCAGGCCTGAGGGACCCCAAAGAACTCTGCGATTAATCCAGTTTGGACTTAACCACCATCTTTAACTTTTCTTCTTACAGCTTAAACTTTGGAACAAATATCGAATTTCCAACATTCCATCACTAATATTCCTAGACGCCACCACCGGGAAGGTCGTGTGCAGGAATGGGCTGCTGGTGATCCGTGATGACCCAGAAGGTGAGACCTTGGCAAGTCCATCCTGTATGCTCCTCTCCATCCTGCTACACTGACTACTTCCCTCCTGCCCACCCCACATTGCTAAAGAGCATACATATGAAATGCAGTTGACCCTTGAACAACATGGAGGTAGGGGCGTCGACCCCCGCACAGTGAAAAATCTGTGTATAACTTTTGACTCTCAAAAAACGTAACTACTAAGAGCCTACTATTGATCAGAAGCCTTACTGATAACATAGAAGCCTTACCGATAACATAAACAGTTGATTGACACATATTTTGTATGTTATATGTATTCTTACAATAAAGGAGGCTGGAGAAAAAATGTTATTAAAAAAATCATACGGAAGAAAAAATACTTTTACAGTACTGTACTGTATTAGTGATACCGTAAATTGGCATCATCTGTTTTAGGCTGTACGGTTCATCTGCAGATTTTTTCAAATTGATGGTGGGAAAACATCTGCATATAACGGACACACACAGTTCACCCGTGTTGTTCAAGGGTCAGCTGTGTATGTAAGTGGGTTTCTTCGGCTAAAGAGTATTGTCTTGATGAAATTGTAGTATTCTCCAGGTCATGGTTAAGATTTTTAAACGGATCAGAATGTCCCTCCTGGGAGCTTTAATTCACGGGCCGAAGGAGATGGAATCTGAGAAAGGAAGTTTAGCTTCGAGGCTGAGGATGCAGTTGAGAAGCAGCTAGAGCTCAGATGCTGACTTCTAGTGCTGTTTCAACGGCAGCTGTCACCTTAACAATGAGAGGCAGGCTTAGTGATTCTGGGTTCTTTTTTCTTTTTTCTCTTTTCTCTTTGAAATATTCCCATAGCAAAGTCGCAGTTTCTGTTGCGTCCTGGTCTCAGCGGTGAGTGCACCTCATTTCTAGGTACTGCCCAAGTCCCGCAGGCCTTGGTCTTGCTGGCCAGCCAGGTGGATGGCCATGCTGGGTAGGTTGCTCTGATCGCCCCGCTCGGTGGCTGTCCAACGTCTGTTTCTCTCCCCTTGGCACTGGAGTCATAAAATGATCATGAGGTCTTCCCTCCTCACTTATTGATCCAGTTAGAGGATTCAAGCCTGGTCACAAATTTTCCCGGTAAAAATTTCACCTGCTTCCAAGAATTGCTCTCCGTGAAACCAAGTCTTTATCTTCTCAAATTTAA